TATATATATCTTTATATATATATATATATATATATATATATATATATATATATATGTGGGTTTACTAACTTACGTATGTTTTTTTTGTTCAGTTGGTACATTTTAGCAATGTGTACCGGATTTTAGTAGACAAGAATATTCTCATATTATGGATTCTGAGACTCTCATATATTATGGATTCTGAGTTTTAAAGTGAAGGATATTTGAATAATTTTCATTCTCAATCTTTTCTCTTTCATCTCTCACTCCAACATTTTATTTGTCATCCGTATAGTAGTCCCAACTAAAAAAATCAAAAATTCGCTGTTAAACAATTTCTTTTCTTACAAAAATGATTTTATAATGAGTTTTCATTTTATAATTTTTGTCTCATCATCTAATTTTATCTAATTTTCACAAGCATAATGACATCCGAAGGAATTGGTAATTGGCCTGAAAAAAAAAATCAGAAACACTCGTTGTTAAACAATTTCTTACATAAAATGATTTTGTAATGAGTTTTCATTTTATAATCTTTGTTTTATCTAATTTTATAATGAGGTTAGTGAAGATGATGAAATTGAAGAGATCTTGAATAACATTTGTCTGAAGGCGAATATGTCAATGACTCAACTCTTTAAAAAGACAAATTGTTTAACCGCGAGTGTTTCTGATTTTTTTAGTTGGGGCTACAACATGGATGACGGAGAATATGCTAGAGTGAAAGAGAGGAAAGAGAATGGGTTGAGAGGAATGAGGAAAGTGGGTAAGAGTTTTGGGGTTTATTGTTTTTTTTTAGTTTTGAGAATGAAAATTATTCAAATACCCTTGACCTTAAAACTTAGAATCCATGGTATTTTTGTCTTCTAAAACTTGGTACATATTGCTAAAATATACTAACTCGAAAAAAAAACGTAGCAAACCCCTTTATTTATATATATATATATATATATATATATATATATATGAAACATATTAAGATATTCTTTTATATTTAAAAACATCATGGATAAATATAGATACTTTATTACTTATGTAAGAATAGTTAAAAGTAGAAACAATTGATAGAAGAATAAATTTAAATAAAATTTACCTCTATAAAAAATATTTTATTTGATATATTTAAGTAAAATATATAAATATGTTAAATCAATTTTTCAATTTCTTTAATTTTTAATATATTTTTACTTTTATTAATAACTTTCCTTTTTGATCGAATGACTTTTTGAGAAAATTTTCAATTAAAATAACGAAAATCCATATAATGAATATTATGGAAAATAACGAAAATCCAAAAAATATATTCTCTTGCCATTTAATGGCCGTTTTGCAATTATTTATCTTAATATTTTTTCCAATACCAAAGTCAGACACTAAAACAACTTGACCCAATGTACTTTTACTGAAATTAAACATAAGTAACCAAACACAAATGTTTGGCTACTGTTCTTTTTGGCATAATTATGAAGTCTTCCAGAACTACTTGTCTTATTATCAACATTTTTTCCCCCATTGGCAAAATGGTATCGCATTTTCCAATCCTAACGAATCACGTCGCATCAATCACTTGTTCTTGCCCGATACCTAGAAAGAAAGAAAATAATCAAACAGTTTGATTACAATGGCGAAACATAAATATTTTCAAATTTAAGGCAGCGAAGAAATGTTTTGATCTTCCAAGAACTGCACACGAAAAATACAAATCAAGTATGTTCTAAATATGACAAGAATAAAAAACTTAAACAAAAGCGAGAGCCTTACTTAAAATTAAACATTATTTTAACATATACTTCATCCCAAGGTGGGATTTACAGAGTACATTGCTCTAAATATCCTATCCTCCAAGGATGCATTCTTTGAACAATTATGGCTAACAAAAGCAATGTGATGTTACAATAGAAATACAAATTTGTAACAATGAAGGACCCAACCGTGCAAGCTTATACCACCATTTAGTTCAGTTGAGTAAGAGGCGAACGTGGAATAAGAGATGGTTTCAACTCCTTTACATCAGAAGATTCGTATGGGTTGTTTTCCCGGAATTCCTCAAGCAGGGATTCCATTGGCAAGGATCGAAGAGACTCTATTGTCCCCTTTGTCGGAACATCAGCTTCACATCTTATTGGTGTTGTACCGGTAGGTTCATAATCCTGCAGGACATCAGAAACAACAACCCTCACATTATTGCATCAAATGCTAAATAATGTCAACAATGACTGTTTTATAACTTCGGAAAACAAAATAGAAACCGAGTTTACATACCCTGAATTGCTGTTGAAAAGTTTCGCTTGCTCTGTGTTCAATCGAAGCAGCTTGGCCATCGTGATCCTCTCGTAGCGTCTCAAGTGTATTTGCATGAGTTCTCACCACATTTAATACGCCAGATATGGAATCCCGTTCTTGTGCTGAAGTGACTGCAAAAAATGTAATCCAAGAAAAAAAAGGATAAATACATACACAAACACATTTTGATAGAAAAAGGTGAGATCTTGGCATTACATTCACTTAAAGAAAATAATCATGATCAAACAACCCAAGTCTCAGACGTAAATTTGCGGGATATTGCTAATCAAAGGACCATGATACGAATCATAACTCACCATCAAACTGCTCAATAAGCTCCTCACTATTCTTTGCCACATCTTCTTCTGCTGAAATTCGTGCACAATTGACCTCAACGACATGTTGCTCATTGCCATCAGTAGCATTCCTGAACCAAACAAAACGGCAACACCCTATCAAATCGCATGGACCATTCGTGAGGCATCAAAGCAGTAAAATGGCCCAAGAAAAACAGAGGTAATAACGACATTAGTGCAACACTCCCTCTTCCCGCCTCAAATTTAAAGATCGGCAGCAAAGAGAGGCTCATTATATTAAGCATTGGCTCCGCCATGACACACACGGTTAATGTCCAAAATATAAAATATGGTTACAGTGCATATGACTTGCATGACAAAATTCTCAACACAACTAAAAATCATATAAAATCACTACAAAAACAAATTTCCAAAGTTTTATGGTTTTTCCATAATAAGGGTTCTAATAATAGAATTTTAAGAAACATATATCATGATAGTTAAAATAACTAGCTAAGTCTTACGAAAACAAACGTCGCACAAAAATTTGTGTTGCAGCGGTATCTCAACTTGAAATTTTATTTTTTCAATTGTATACGGTTAAGAACGGTGGGACACGAAGACGTATAAAACACAGTGATACGTTATTCTAGAAAGGTACTAGTGCTTAGGACTCATTACAATCAGTTTGCCACGCACCTGACAATTGATTCTGTTGCCGAAATATGTTTGGTCCCCATCTCATTCACAGCATCATGTGTCCTCTTTGTATGCTCAAAAGCCGACTTAGCAGTCTTAAAACTAGGGATTTAAAAAAGAGTGTTAGATTGTGAGTGAGAGTATCCGGATAAAGAAAATTTGGGGAAAGAACACTTACCTCTGCTGCATGAGCACCTCCATACGGCAATGCCTAGCAGCAGAAAAATCCGAAGTGTCTTTTGCATCCTTTTCTGCTTGCACGCAAAAGGCCTGCCATTTCCTTTTAGCATTGGTAACAATATCTCCCATTGAAGACAAATGTCCATCCAAGAAGGACTTGTTCTTCATTCCGCTTTCCCTAAGATCAACAAGCTTTGAGTCTACCTGCAAGCCGAACATCATTTGATTTCTATATGAACGACAAACTAAACTGACAGGAACATAAAATTTTCCGACCCTTCCCCCACAACCACCACTCAAAATAAAATGAACAATCCAAAACTGACCAGATCCATTTGTCGCCGAATGTGATCAGAAACTAAAGTTGTCATATTAGCAATAAGTTTCTCTGTATCTGATTTTGATTGTTCCTGCACAGAATAGAATAAGCTTTCCACATCAGATGTCAACAACCAGAACCATCTTTCAAATAATACTTGTTGGTGCAAAGTTAGAACCTCGTAAGCTTTTTTAAACTCATCAATGCTCTTCATTTGCACTTGGTCAGCCTGTGAAGCGTAGTCTTCAAGCTTTTTTGATTCTTCAAAAAGCTTATCCACAAATTCTTGAGAGCGCTCGGAGATATCCTTTATTTGTTCAATGCTGAGATTGAATTTCTTTGATTTACAATACACAATAATATAACAGTCAGAAGAAGATAAAAAACCATCAGTCTGAACAGAAAAAAGAAATAATAACAGTTTTGTACAGGACAGAAAAGAGAAAAGCATAACACGTGACGATTTAGTTTAGAACTAACAGAAGGAAAACTTGAAGCACGTACATTTCGTAACTCGCTCGCAAAAACTGCCAATTCACCCTGCTGAGTTGAAAGGGAACCCTGAAGATCATCAAATATTGAACCAGCTTCGGTAGCCTCGGATGCAAGAAACTAATTTATCACGAATTATAGATTTATATTAGTACTAGCAATGAAAAGCTTAGATAAAAGAGCACACCACTAGCTAAAAGTTGAAACAAGTAAAACATACTTTTTCTATTGAATCGCCATTGGAGGATATAACAGAAGTAAGTTCCTCAAAGGCAGCATCAGAGTTCGCTTTATGCAAGCGCACGACATTTTGTACTGCCTCGATATGAGATATATACAAGGACCTCAGAGATGTCATTTTCTTTTTAAAATCAACAACGGCCTACAATAAACAAAGAGGAATTAGAGGATTTAGAGATAAAATATAACAAGACACACAAAAATACGGGGAAATCAAGGATTTCAATGAAGTGGATAAGACCATGAAAGAAAGACAAACAACAATATTGGATTCTTTATGTACCCACCTTATCATGAACGTCCAAAAACGAATGACAGAGCTTCTTCACACCTTCCAGATGTTCATTCTGTTCAGACAATGACGTTGCAACAGTGCTGCATAGAGAACCAACTTGCTGAGCGAGCTCCGCCTGGTAATTGTTCACTACAGTTCTGTTATTTGAGTTCAACTTATCTTCTCTGCCTATAAATTAACAAACAGGTAAACAAGTTAATAGATACAACTTCAATTCTTAGTCAACAAAAACAGAGCAAAGAATAAGTCATACCAATTTTCAAAAATAACGAAGCATTATCCTGAAGAGATTTCTCCAAATCAGCACGTAAAACACATGCTTGATGATGCAGTGCATTTTCTGTCACACATAATTAACATAATCTAAGAGGACTATTAAACAAGAAACAGGGATAGAACATGATCATGTGTTTGGCATACCTGCTTTTCTCTGCTCAGAAATGATGAAGTCTTTCTCTTTCAAAGTGTACTGACATTTTTTTAATTCTTCCTCTCTGTTGGCAAGCAATTTGCTAGTCTTGTTCAAGTTTTTCTGTGTGGTTTATCACAATTTCCCTATAAGCAAGGATGTATATCTCATAAAAATAATGAGCACAAATTTTGTTAACTCACCTCGGTACTATCGAGTTTGTTGCTCAAATCGGAACACTGTTGAATTTGGTCGACTAATTTGTTTTGCAAATCCTCAAGTTGCTGGTTGAAACATAGAAAACAAGTCAGATATAACAGGAAAGAACAAGCAGGCACGCCCTATCTTCTAAGCATAATAGGTTGTTTAATAAAACAAACCTTTTGTTGCGTTTCTATTGTGAGCCCCATCTGTTCAATTTGATCTGACATAGCCTGAACAAAAGAAAATTATGCACCAATGAAAGGCCTCAAAAGTGATTTTAACAACTATATCATAAAAATGAACATCAAACCAATATATATCTACCCATGAACAATATTAAAATCCATGCAAGAAAAAACGTCCAGGGATCTAAAATAAAATTATCTTCACGATCTGGGCACTGAAAGTTACATGGAACAATAGTACTGCTCTAAATGAATTTTTCATATTAATAAAAGATAACAGACTAATAGAAAGAAGAGAAAAATAACCTTCTTTTCACTCTCCTCCTGATAGAATCTTTCCTTTGGAATATAGACACCATTTTTCTCACGCGTAGCATAAACCTCTGATGAAAGTCACCAATTAAATGATTAATATCTTAAATAAGACAATATACCAAGAAACCTGAAGAACCCAAGAGATACTTCAGCAAGGACTAATGAGCCACACATTTCACCTGCTTTAAGACGTTCAATTTCACCATAAAGGTCTTTGATAAGTGTTGATTTCATCATTTTTTGGTTAACCTAAAATATCAGAAAAGAAAAACTAGGTTAAGGGAACAAAACGAAAAGCATCTCATATCCTGCATACCTTGTCCAAATAAAAACAGCTAAACTAGAGCTAAATAGATCAACACAAATCTATTCTTAAAACGAAAATGTCCCTAACAGCACTCGTTCAGTCCTTAAACAAAATGAACAAATCATGCTCATAATTTTGTCTTATATCCTACCTAATCCTAATACAAAAGAACATTCAAATCAGTCACTCTGTTTAAGACAGTTTTATCGTATACTAAGACAATAAATCTAAAACACAATGCAGTCAAATACTTTAAATATCTTTGTAGAAGCACTATGCTTGTAACATATTTACGTGAAATGTTTCAAAGACATTATCACTACTAAAGATGCATGGTATCATGGAGATTTTTAAACACCATGCCAATCACTAACAAACCTCAGGCTTATTTTTTATGTGTTTTGCCCTGTGTGCATAATCCAGCGTGCTCAAAGTTTCCTCTAAGCAATGAACTGCAGGAGACACTGTTGCAATGATGCATGTCTTGGTTCTTCCCCCGAGTGAATCACGCAGTAAGCGAGTTAACTTACTATCCCTATATGCCAACATTTCCATGTGAGCACACCCAGAAAAGGATAATGCTAGAGACTCAATAGAATGAAGCAGTGTCAAAGGCACAAAAAAAGAAAAAAACCTGTAAGGGATGTGACCAAGGTGCTCCACTAATGCATTGATTACTCGTCCTAAAGTAAGCAAACTTTTGTTAATTTCCCCAGCTTCCCTTGCACGGCCCTAACAATTATCAAACACAAATATAAACTTAATAGTTCAAAATTAATATGTATTAGGAGAAAGCCAGAGCGTACGCTGAACAAAGGGTATGTTCATGATAAATACCTCCCTGGCACCAGAACGAGATATATTCTCTGACCCAGCCAGATCAACCAAATTAAGTTTACCACATTTAATTAGTTCTTCTCCTTCCGGGGTTGCTTCCTTGATATGGATTGTAATTGAAAACAACGAATGTGACCGACTGTAGACAAAGAAAGTATTGGTGAGAGATATGAAAACATGATTCCACCACCTGTCAATTAAGGAAATAGAAAATAACAGTCACCTTGACTGCTTGTTCAACAAAGTTTCAGCAGTCCGTCGTTTAGCAGACCCTCTCTCCAGAAGCGTAAAAATCTCACTAGCACTTGTCACAATCTCTTCCTCCAATCCCCTTACAAGAACTCCACCTTTACCATCCTCCATGAGAGGCAGCTGTTTTTTCTGCTTCTCCTCCAAAGAAACCTTAGAAATCTCCTCCGGGGCAAGCAAATCAGTGATCTCTTCATTATACAGTTCCAAAAAGGTGACCTTTACACTATACTCCGCATTCTGGCCCTCTAGTGTGTCAAAAATCTGCTTGACAGCCCTGGGAATGACTCCAGCTTCCGGAGGTAACTCTCCATTGGGACCACTCTGTTTTAGAATAGTAAAATCAAATTACTAACATTGCTCGTTAACATGCGTCACATAAAATCAGCACACCTCATAAAATCAGAGCATACCTTGGCCCTTTTGCACTCCCCTTCCATAGTGTAGGTTTTCCCTGTACCAGTTTGACCATACGCAAAAATAGTACAATTAAACCCCTCAAGAACTTCATTAACTATCGGAGTAACAGCTTGTTCATAAAGATCCTTTTGCCTAGCAGAAGGACCAAAAACCTACACAAAGCAAAAGTGAACATATTTCAGATTTGCAATCCCCCTAAAACCTACTTCTCTTCTCACTATTTACTTTTCAAAGTGAGATTATCAAACAACAGAAAAGTGTGAGCAATACCTTATCGAAGGTGAAAACCCTATCGATGTGCTTGCCGGCGATACTCTGAGAGACGGCGACTTCTCGACTGTAATCATTGCAAGTCACAACTTGCGGTGCGTTGCTCCGTAACTCTTCGTCGCTGAACGGCCTGCGATAAATCAAATTGCGGGGTTAGAGTTGCAGAACGCAAAAAAAAAAAACGAAGAAACAAGGAAAATGGAAACGTAAACGGCATACCTGCAACGGAGGAGGACCTGGACGTTGACGCCCTTTTCTTTCTCGTGGCGCATAGACATTTTCAGTCACAGATCCGCTTCTGAAAGTTCCTTCCTTTCTTTCTCTGTGTGTGTGTGTGTGAAAGGTGTGAGAGCGGGGATGAAGGGTGGTGAGTTTGAGATTTGAATTTTTGAAATCCGCTCTTCTCATTTCCCCTTCCATATATATCTACGGCTCAGAGTTGGGGGGTCGTGATCTAACGGTGTTCCCATCTGTCTAAGTTTTACTGTTTTGCCCCTGTCTTTCCCGTTTCTATATTATCGTTGGCATGTTTGATTATTCGACTCAATTGGACTACCCTAACAATCAGTCCAAAATCCTCTTTACTTTTTACACCTCCCGTAATTTCTTTAGGTTATAGTAAAATACTGAAATTAATCTTTTAAAAATTTAATAATGTCAAAAATATTATCTTATGTGCATATATAAAAAAAAATTTCGAATTAAACTTTTCGAAACATTTCAAGAAATATTGATCCTGTAATGAAAAATTTGAAATGCATTCAAAATTTAATTGACTCTGATTAATTTTAATTGCTTTTAATTAATAGTTTTAATAACAAAACAATTTTCCTGAAATGACTTCAAATTTATTCCAATAAACTTTCATTTTATTTTCCGTAATAGTTTTTTAGAAGGTTACGAAAAGAGCAATGAGAACGCTACATGGCACTCCGGAAATATTTATATGATTTTTTTAGATATTTAAAATAATGTATTGTGTTTATTTAAACTTTTATTTATAGTTATATCAATAATTTAATAAATTTAATATATATTTTTTTGTAAAATTTTTATTTTAGGTTGAGAAAGTTAAATCTCACTTTTATTTAAAATGTTTTTGAAAAATATAACACTAAAACGTTTTTTTTTCTACTTCCAAAAACAAAGAATTTACCAAACATGTCTTCGAGACTATCCGTTTCTCATATTTATTAGTTTTTTTTTTGCATAAACTATTGTTTGTTTAATGATCATTCATCAAATTTTGAGTACTAAATAACTATAATGCGTTAATTGCTTATTGTCGAAATATATTCATAACGCTAGTTTGAAAATAACAGTTTAATTAAAATATTTTTGAATAAAAACTTACTATGAAAAGGTTTATATAATATCGAATTAAGTAAACTTAAAAAAAGTAAAATCATTATTGAAAATTTAAAACTAATTAAATAGTTAATAAATTTGCAATTTCAGTTGATGCATTAAGCAGTGAACATATATACACATAAAATATGAAAAGTTAAACAATTAATATATATA